AAATATCTCACCCCATGCTGTTAAATAATCACCTCATTGCGCCAGGCTGTTAAGGTTTAAACGCAGAACTCATACTTCAGCGGGGACACAGTCCTCTCCAGGCGCCTTCTGTATGCACAGTTTCCATAGTACTTTGATCAGTTACTCCTAAAAAATATGGCTAGGGCAAATTACACCGATTAGAGAGCACCGAAACAGCCATGCGAAGGAGAGAGGTATTGTTCGGGCTGTACATTAGATTTAAGAGGGCGCTCACTGTATTAATGCCATCGGCCGATTTATCGACAATAGATCCTCTATTGACATGGAGGATAGGGTAATTCAACACTGAGGAATCACCCCTAACTTTGTAAGTAAATCGGCAGAGTTCTAGAGCGTCGAGGGCATTTGCAACCTGCTCCACATAGGCCTCCATTTCAGCACAATCGGTTTTATAGTTAGTTAAGGCTAATTTTACAGTGATCTCCTGGCGTTTTAGGATTTAATTCTAACTGTGTGAGTAGATATCTGTTAAGTTTCTGAACTGATCCAAGCATTGGTGCCCCGGGGAACAAATCAAAACCTCGCAGTCGCCTCTCAGACTGAGAAATTCACTGACCGCTATCTGCTGCTGCCTCCTCATTCAGCTAGGGTTGCAAAGCCAGACCAAACTTTTAAACTCAGCCTTGACCGTGGCTGATTGTCGTAGTTTTACGAAATCAGAAATTCTTTTCTAATACACGTTGGGGGCGGATGAGGGGGAAATCTTCAGACATGTACGAACTAGAGCAGCTTTTTCTCCCAGGCCTAGCCAGTTTCGTTGCCAAGCCTCGATCTCTTGTCATAAAAGTGGTCTCGAAACCTTGAATGGAGTGGAATGTATTCAGTCTGGCAGATCACACACCCACCATCGGATAGAAGGCACCAAAGTATACTGAATCGATGCACGACTACTCAGTCGACTTATTTGCCGCCTGCAATCGCAAAAAAGTGTAAGGCCATCGCATCTCCAACGTACAAACACCCGAAAGTTAATGAGAAACCTGAGTAGTGTTCACTTCTAGCATGATGGGACATAAATGAAGAGAGGCATCCCTAGAAACGTAATTTGAGGGAAAGACGTTCTTTGGGAAACAAGCTAAGTTTATTCAGTAAATTTTCGACGCTGGGTTCCCAGGTCGTCGTCAGACTTGAGAAACCGTGCAACAAGCAATTAAAAGTTCAGACGTTCTAAAAAGTCAATAGTAATTTTTTGTGAGTACTAATTGGTGGCTGCCATCTGCGTCAGTCTGTATCGATCGGCCCTCGTCTCTTCCATCTCGATAAGAAAGAATTCGTTTACAAGATCGCACGCGAAGCTTGCGATACCGTATACTGTGGCCAAACAGGAAGGTCCGTCTCCACATGCATTCACCAACGTCACCTAGCAGTGAAGACACGTGAATATTTATCTAATTTGGCTATGCATAGCCTTGATACAGAACATACCTTCGCATGGGACAAAACACGCATCGTCGGGATTTGCCCCCCCCCCAAAAAAGGCCGATAATTTCTTGAGGCCATGCGCTCGGATTACTTATGCATCAGCCGACATATGGAGTTGGATGGAATGTACAAACATCTTAGAGAAAGATAGAAGAGACGACAGCCGATCGATACAGACTGACGCAAATGGTAGCCGCCGATTAGCGCTCACACAGAATGGCTGTTGATTTTTCAGCAAGTGTGGAATTTTAATTATTCTGTGCACATTTCCTCAAGGCTGACGACTCCCTGGGATTCAGAGCGTCATTCAGTGGACCCGGAAACTTTCCGAGTACTAGTTCCGGCGCGAACAACTCCTACCTTGCGGTACTCGGAGGAAGCCTATATACGGCGGTCAAAACCGATCTCTATAAACAGTTGGAAAATGTGGTTAACCTAACTTTGCCCTGGTAACATCTGGCTCCCTGATTTACACATTTCCCTGCCAAACTTTTTGTCTTAAACGTTTTTCCCCTACGTTTGCTTCCCACAGTGTTTTAGCTTGCTTACTTTCTTGATTAGCCTTCGTGGCCATTTTCTATGACCTTGCTGTTTGCATCGATTTTTCTGTACGAATTCACTTTTCGTATTCTCTCATACGTTATTCTTACTATGCAGCAAGAGGTCGCAGCTGAAGGCCACTCGCGAAATTTATGGTTCCATTAACTTCTGCTCTCTATGCAATCTTCAAATTTGAATAAACTTACCTTGTTTCCCAAAGAACATCCTTACTTCAAATAAATGAGTCAACTAGAAACTTCTCAGTGTTAGACGGTAACTGGCTTTACTAGCGCCGACTATTAAAACACTTCCTTGCACATATCACGCTAGGAAAACGAACGAACATTTGTGTAAACAACTTCGCGCCATCAGCAAGTACAACTGCATTTCAGATAAAAGAAAACTGGTATAAAGTTTTAGTATTGGAAACGCGCAGTGCAGCTCTGCGGAAAACTTGCTTGAATTGTTAAAACCAACATCTATTGCATCCGTAGGTATTCCAAACTCCCCTATTTAAATATAGTCGCTATCACCCTTGTCCTCGACTCCTCCGATAATTGTCTGATAGAGCTCAGCCTTTACATATGTAGTGATTCCTAACCATGTAGAATTCGGGCAGGCTGAGTTCAATTGATTTGTCGAGCACACTGTTCATGGCAGCCATGCGCAGGGCTTTCTAGTAAGACAGCCACGTT